ATATCAATTTGAAATAAAATAAAATTGACAAAGAGATTCGGTCTTCCCTCCAAGACATAGATGCTCATAGTAGAACCACCACTTCATTCATAGACAATTTCTGTTACACGATATCCCTGGACTTTCGTCGATAACCCGTTCTTCGATATGCTCATCTTATGTAGGTCCATCATAACTTCTATGGCACTAAGCTTGTTCTCCTTCTACAAAGTCTTTACAATTCTTGGAGACACTTCTCATTTAATGGGTTATTCACCTCCTGAAGCAACACCCTTCTTCTACACTAGTAGAAGTTTTGTTGCTAACATCATCCTTATATGGACCTTTGTGCATGTAGAGTCAAACTTCTTAGGGCACATTCAATTCATACATTAGTATATTTCGAATATTTTGTCATCCTCAAATTAGGGAGGCGTGATTTCATCTGAAACTTAAAACGTACCCTATTGGAATTGGTTCCACACTTTTTGGAACTCAGAACCTACCGTGAAACCGACCAATTCTTCTTCTTTTTTGTTTCATTTTTTCTTCTTTTATTTTTTCATTTTTAGTTAAATAAAATGAAAGTGAACATAACAACAAAAATCCCCATTTATCAATGGCAAAAATTCATAAAAGATGAACATGTAACATAAAAAAAGTAACAAATTGAAAACACGTAACTTAAAACCTAAATTATAGAATTTGAATCCTCAATCATCCATGAAAAATTGCTCCAAATTCCAACCACCTGAAATCAAAAGAAACAATAAATATAGTTAATCACTAAATTATAATTTTAAATTAAAATTACTATTAATTAAACTAATTATTAGATACCTCACCGCATATATATATTCTACTTCAATTCATAAACTCTATTTACCAATGATAATAATCTCATTAAGACAATCCATATCTAAAAAAAAGAGAAATTAAAGAAATATTCACTCATTAGATATACAAATGAACTACAATATATATTTTACTCACAATATATAATCTTCGCTCCATCAGTTCATGATTTAGTTTTTATCCAGGAACCGGGAGGCAGACCTCACAATAGTGCTCTCTCTTTTTTTGGAGCCGGAAACCGGATCGATAATTGTGGAAACTTGGAATCAGACCGGTTCCTATGGCTGGTTTGGTACGGTTCCCGGTTCTCCCAGCACCCATGTTCACTCCTACTTCAAATCACCATACGATTTTTTTTCCAAACACCAACTGAATTTCACAACCTCATTAGCCCAGCTCTATTGCCATGTCAACCTATCATCCGTTCGTCTTGTCGGCCTATCCTCCGTTGACCTCATTATCTGTGCCAGTTGAATGAGAAATTATTTAGGGAATCGATTATATGTACTAAAAATGAACTTAAACAGTAGAATCCGATGTGACTTGCGTGGGAACTTGCTCCGTCGGATCCACCATTTTCGATAGTCTAGATTTTATTCGGTACATATACTACACTCATTTGATAATTTCTAGGATCAAACATTTTGTGGAAGCCCATGATCCACATGCCTGAATCCCTGGACTGGCTGCGATGAGGCTTGCTCCGACAAAACTCAAGTTGAACGGAGAGCCACCAGATTATGGAGATCGATCCAAACATACTTTTAAAGAAGACGACAAGATAGATAATTTAGCAAAGGGCGAAGGCGATAGTGGGATAAGATGCATCTTAAAATGCAAAAGTTCCTCAGTGGTCCTAGCTCGAAAAAGTCAAGAATTTTCCTGTCACTCATCACTTCAATACATACTTTTCCACCACATCTGTAAATGAGGCTCGAGTTGTTTCCACCACAATCATTTATGTAAATGGATGGACTTTACGATGTCGACATGTTTGGTCGTAATAATAATATTAGACGGCAATTTATAAACTTTTCTAATAATAATGATTGTGAAAAATTGAGGAACTGAATTGAGCAGAATTCGTAGCGTGCCGTATAAAATTATAGGATAGAAGCACACCTAAAATTGGTGAGGCGGGTGATGACTACGGTCGGTGATCGATGTTGTTGGACCTCGTGGCGTGGGGGTGCCGTAACTGGTGTGGTCTGGGCCTCGGCTGGCGGTGGCTCTGGAACTCTTGTTGGCGGACTGTGGGCGGAAGAAGATAAGAAGTTTCAGGTTCGATGCCTTGAATTTGAAGAAGATTTAAAGGACTTCTAACGGCTAACTTAATTTCGTCGCTAAAAGTGTACTTTTAATTTTGGCAACGAGAACTCCAATTTCGTATTTAGGATTCCGTAGTCTAGTGACAAAAAACCAATCCCGCCATTACGGGGTACTTTTAGCGGCAAATTTTAATTTTTCCGCCACAAGACAAATTTCTTACGGTGAATCAAAACCTAAATTTTCTAAAAGTGTAATAAAGTTTTAAAACTTATTCAGTTAGTGTAATCAGGTATCTCCATTAGTTGTGATGGAAACTACTAACGCCACATTAACAGACGATCGAGTGTCATCACCATATAATCTCATGTTAGACAGCTTGATAAAAGAAACTGCGATATGTGATTTCTTTTTTAAAGTTCTTCCTTTCATAGGAAGAGCAAATGCTGGACTGTATATAAGACGAATGCACATTCCTTTCCCTTCTCAAAGTCCCTTGAAAAACCATTGTTAGAAATTTCAAATTTGAAGGGACAAAATGGCTACAGAACCATGATTGATTGCTCAACGTCTCATGTCTTCCATTTATTTTGCTTTAATGATGGAAACCATAAGTGTCACTAGGTGCGATTATATCAGCACTAATACATCATTAAAGTTGGATAGGACATTTGCCTATTGTAAGTCGTACTAGGTGTGATCATATCAGCACTAATACATCATTAAAGTTGGATAGGACATTTGCCTATTGTAAGTCGTATGAAGACAGACAACCCTTAAATATTAAGGAGCAAATGCTTAAGATTACACAAAACTTCTTGCTAAATTTTTGTTTATCTATATCAGTATATCTTGACCGTACCATGCCATGGCAATGTTCAGTGCTAAAAAGCTTCTCTTGTAGCAAAAGCTTTTTGATCTCCAATCCACATGACTCAGCCTTGCTTTTTATGATATTCTGCATAAAGCACCGTCTTTCTTCTCCTTTATGTGGATGATATTATGAAAAATGACGATGACTTTACGGGGATCGAACTGCTTAAGGCTACCTTGAGTACAACCTTTGAGATGAAGGATCTTGGCAACTTCAGTAATTTTAGGGCTCGAGAATACAACATGCTCCACGGGCTGGAGGTGATCAAAGGACGAATGGGCGGGCGGTCCATTTGGCTCTTCCAAGCCCCCTAGGCTCGAGAGGTAAATGGATTGACTTGAGCAATGCTCTTACATGAGAAACCCCGGTCCCTTGATTTTTGGTCTGAATTACTATAAAAATTAGGAAGATGTTTGCACATTCCACGGGTTGAAGACTATATTTGTTAGATTATTCTAAATGCTGGTGTAGACGTGAATTTTGGTGGAATAAATATTAAAAAAATGCAGAAAATTACAAGACAATCAATGTGGCACCCCCGACAATTCTTTGACTCACGTAATTTTTGCATACTTAGTAATTTAAGCTCGAAATTTATACCTTTCATGTATTTAAGTATTAAAAATGCTTAACTTAAAAAATAATTTATGATTTCAAATCCCGCACAAGGTTTTTTAATTTTTCGATAAATTTAACACTACCACTCTCAATAGAAATTCGAACACTTCTTCAAAATAAATTATAATAGATATAACAACCGGACAATGTTTTCCTCCATTCTTTATTAAATAAAAGTTCGTCTATTCATACTTGATATAAATGGGTTACAAGCATAAACACCACTCACATATTTATTTTATGACCCCGTGCTCGCGCTTTGTCCATAACCTTTAACTAGATGCAGCGAAATATGTCATAAATTCATATTTGAACTCATATATAATGGGTTGGGTAGTATATGGATTGCCTAAGATTTAAGACATAGGTTGGAATGGAGATTTAAGACGTAGGTTGGAAAGGGTCAATAGAGCAAAGTCCAATTAGCGATGGTTGTAGCGGGTCTCGAAAAAATTTACCTTTGACCCATATAATAACCCTTGCCTCAGGTGATGCGTCAGAGTCTTTGGAAGAATGACCATGCCCCGTGTGGGAGTCGATAGACGCCGGACCAATCGTAGGTTCATCGATCCCTCTCTAGTCTAACGACTTTCGGTTTTTTGGGTGTTTGTAAATCCCGACAAGAAAAATTACGGCTTTTGGCAATCAATTCTTTTAGGAGTCAGTTGGGTCGTTGCTTTCAAGTTTTAGAGGATGCTGCTTGCATTGTCTTCTATTGAGATTTGGTTAGGCGAGTTGGGGGATATGATATTGACTATAGATATACCGTGCCTTGGAATTTGAGGGAATAATCCGTGAAATTCGGCGCAAGCCATTGAAAAAGGATAAAATTGACTTGAGTTCGATAAAGCATGCACTTCGAAAGGTTTTTTGTTATGTTTTCTATTTTATTTACTAATCTTCTTTTATTTTGTCAGTTTACTTTTTTTTAATTTGATATAAAATTTTATTCAAGTAATATTTTAGCGCCAAGAACTTAAAGTTGGTTAAATAGGTTTGTTTGAATTTTGATAGATTGAGTTGATTATGGATTCGCTATAATAATATGGGGGTTGGGTCGGGTCGGGTCGAAAGTCGTTAAAGGGCAGTACTGATAAAACGAGTTAATTTGAGCAGGACCCATTTTCGAGCCATATGAAACTCGACCCGACTCGCCCGTTAGACAATTCCGCCGTTAATTATCCAATCGAAGTTATGGACGAAAATATCTCTAGTTCCTTTTCATATTGTATTGTTTTAATCATGGACATCAGCTCGAGCAAGAACTTTCACCCCCAGCATCAAATCCAGAAAGGCTTGCTCGATTCATCAGTTCGTTTATACATCTCCATGTCTTTCGCACGGTGTCTTTTAGTCCTTACCCGTTTCATGATAAAGATGAAGAGGTCGATGATCAGCTTTTCGGCCCATGCACAGAAGTGAGCACAGCAGCATGCATGCAGCGAAGCATCCCGGATCGGCTCAATCACATGAGCGCACGTTGAACTCTTCAGCCTCTTCGATCCATGGGAGAAGCAAAGACGAGGCCGTGCTTCTTTGCCTTGTCCACGAATTCCATCGCCCAGCGACAAGATCTCGCCACCCACATCACGACCCTCTGTCTCTCCGAAGAGCAAAAGAACAAACGGACGAACGGAAAAAACAAAAATCAAATGGAAATGGAAAATTAGTTTACGACTCTCTCCGATTCGTCACCACAAACGTCACTCCATCCCAACCTCATCCTTCTATTTATACGAATATCACCCCCAGAAAACATGTAAGTCGTTAAACTCCCACAATTTCACTGGTATCTGTGCCCAATACCAACCGTATAAGCAGCACCCACAGAAAAAAAAAAAAAAGATTTCCTAAACCATGGGCTCACACGCGCCGTCGCCACCACCCGCTGCTGCTGCCGTGGCGCCGCCCCACTTCCTCCTCGTCACGTTCCCAGCGCAGGGCCACATCAACCCGGCCCTCCAGTTCGCCAAGCGCCTCCTCCGTGGCGGTGCCGAGGTGACCTTCGCCACCAGCGTCTCTGCCTGCAGCCGCATGTCCAAGGGCCAGACCCATTTGGAGGGCCTCCACTTCGCCGCCTTCTCTGACGGCTATGATGATGGGTTCAAGCAGGGCGATGACATGACGCACTTCGTTTCCGAGGTCAAGCGCCGAGGCTCCGAGAAGCTGAAGGACCTCATTGCATCAAGCGTGGGCGAGGGCCGCCCCTACACCTGCTTGGTGTACAGCTTGCTCATCCCATGGGCAGCGGAGGTGGCACGTGATTTCCACGTGCCCTCGGCCCTCCTGTGGATTCAACCCGCCACGGTCTTGGACATGTACTATTATTACTTCCACGGTTATGGCGAATTCATAAAAAATAAGTGCCTTGACCCTTCATGTTCGTTCGAGTTACCGGGCCTTCCCTACAAGCTCACTAGCCGCGACTTGCCTTCATTTTTGGCGCCGAACAGCTCCGGCGTATACGCTTTCGCGTTGCCGGCTTTCAAAAACCAGCTCGATACCATCAACCAAGAAAACAATCCAAGGATACTGGTGAATACCTTCGACTCGCTAGAGCCAGAGGCCTTGAGAGCGATCGACAGGTACAACATGGTAGGGATCGGGCCATTGATACCCTCGGCTTTCATCGATGGGATAGACCCGTCTGACACGTCCTTTGGGGGCGACCTCTTCCACAAGTCCAAAGACTACACGGAGTGGCTGGACTCCAAGGCCCCGGCATCGGTCATCTATGTGTCGTTCGGGAGCACCGCGGTGATATCAAAGAGGCAGGCGGAGGAGCTCGCCTGCGCATTGCTTGACTGCGGGCGACCGTTCTTGTGGGTCATAAGAGCAGACCAAAACGGAAAGGAAGAGAAGGATGAGGATAGATTGAGCTGCCTGCAGGAGTTGGAAGAGAAAGGAATGATAGTGCCGTGGTGCTCGCAGCTCGAGGTGTTGTCGCACCCGTCGCTCGGGTGCTTCGTAACACACTGCGGGTGGAACTCGACCCTCGAGAGCCTTGCGCTTGGTGTCCCTGTGGTGGCGTTCCCACAGTGGACGGACCAGGGGACAAATGCGAAGCTCGTCGAGGACGTGTGGCGGACCGGGGTCCGCGTAAGGCCAAACGAGGAAGGGTTGGTGGAGGCGGAGGAGGTAAGGAGGTGCTTGGAGACGGTGATGGCCGATGGGGAGAGGAGGGAGGAGGTGAGGAGGAATGCGGTCAAGTGGAAGGAGTTGGCGAGGGAGGCTGCGGCAGAAGGCGGGTCGTCAGATAGGAACTTGAAGAATTTCATTAAAGAGGTTGGTCAAGGTTGTCAATGCTAAGATTGTGGAAGTAGCTTGCTATAGGCTATAGCATGTGTGGTCACTGTGGTGTTTTGGCTAAGAGCACATAAGTTCTGTGTCGGTGCTTCTCTCTATGTTTTTTTTCTGTTATAAATGCTTCTTTCCATTATTTTCTAGGGAGGTTTGATGATGATGGTAGGTTTGCTGCATGAATTTACTACGGAATAAGTGAAAATTTGGTGAAAAGACGGTCATATCATGGATTTACTCCAATACTCAAATGCACCATATTCTTTACCTTGGCAAACCATCAAGCACCATAAAGATCCTCGAATCATAGAGAAATATAATTTTCCTTTCAAGACTAATGTTGCGTTGGCAAAAGAAATCACTACATGGTCACTGCGTATATTAAATACTGTTTAATATTAGATCGTCATATACAGAATATACATAAGGCATGATAATGTGCAATCTCTTCAGTGCACATACCACATTCAGTTGCTGTCCTCATTTGAGGGCTTTGAAAACCCTAGCGGTCAGATCTCCGACGGTGAATGATCGAGAGGACGAGATGTGTTGGCCGAAAAATTCACGTTTGACTCGTGGAGGGGACTGCATGTACGTGAACTTGGGTCGGCCTGATCAGTGGAACATGCAAGAAAGAAGCCTCCTCACCTCACAATGTGTGGGAACTACGGCTCATGGACAGCTCATTGGTAGGTCCACCGGTTCGTGCACTCGGACCATTTGTACTGGCCATTGACGACGACCAGACGAATATGAGCTCCTTTGAACCTTGACTTTTGCGCAAGTATCAATGAAAGCAATTCATATAGGAGCATTTGCCATTCAATAGCAATAATGATGTTATGCCCATGTAATTGCATTGGGGTTAATGGACCAAAGCGAGAGGGGTCTTTGAGTTTGATTGGACTAAGCCTATAAATTATCATTTGGTCAAAATTCGTAACACGGCTGAATCTTTGACGATTTATCCTTACAGCTTCATCCAGTGAATAAGGAGGGATATTCTTAGCAAAAGTCAAAGATTTGGGGGGCATATATACGGGAGACGGTGAAAAAGACAAAAGTATAATATATTTTAAGCATTCTTAAGAGGAAAGTAGGTTTGGTTCCTTTCCTTGAAAACCTCAGTCGTCCCTTTTATAAAGGAGACTCGTTAAGGGTGTGTTAGACAACCGTTTTGTTCTCGAAAGTTGATTCTGTTAAAAAATTATTTTTTTTGATTTCATACCCGCGAACAATTTTTAAGCATTTGGAAGCGTTTGGTAACTGTCCAAAATTTCTTTTTATTAATAATATTTTGAATTTTTTAATATTTCTTCCTTTTTTTTCTTCCCCTTCCCCTTCCTTGGCCATAGCTTGGTCACCGACGCCGGCGACCAGCCACAGGCCAGGGCTGACGAGGGCTGCGACACAGGCGAGGGCCACTCTCGCCAGATCTAGGGAGGGCTGGACCCTCACCGCCGCCCTCACTAGATTCAACGAGGGCGGCTAGCAGCCTGGGTGAGGGCTGCCCTTGGCGGCCTGGGCGAGGGTCGCCCTTGCCAGATTCGGCGAGGGTGGCCCTCGCCTAGGCCGCGAGCCACCCTCGCCGGATCTGGTGAGGGTGGCGGCGAGGGTCTAGCCCTCGCCCTCGCCAGCCACAAGCCAAGAAGAAGAAGAAGAAGAAAAATTTCTTTTCCATTTTTGATTCTTGTTCCCAGAATTAAGAAGCTATTTTTATTTGCTTCTTGATTCTGTTCCAAAATTGATTCTGGGAACAAACTTGTGCTCGGGAACAAAATATTTACTAAATGGATTTCTGTTCCAAAATTGATTATGAGAATAAAAGAATAGAAATTGTTATTTTTTGGCAACTTGCCAAACGCTTCCTAAACGCCCAGAGGGGGGGCTCTCTTTTTGGTTTGTAGATTAAAGTTCTCTCTTTTGATAATCGCGCTTTATCATTATTGTTCGAGCTGTCCTCTTAGCGTTGTTGCTTCAGCCCTTTGTCCACTGTCGCTAGTCACAGTGCCGTTCCATCCCCTCTCGCTCTTGCTGATCCACCTTCGCCGAGGGTCCCGGCACTCAAGGATCTCCACTGCCATTCCTGAAGCCGCATTTAAAGTTAGCATCACTACAGCAGCCAGGGAGCCTTGGACATCCTTGAAGTCCCTTTTGCAGCGGTTTTCGTTCAGGTATTTGTTATGGATTGGAGTTTCCATGACGCGACTGATCGAAGAAATGGCCGAGATGATCAGCAAGAAGCGTCTTGGGCTCTAGGGTTTCTAGAATACTCCTAGGGATGGTATGGGAAATGTATATTTAAGATACAAGGTAAATGGTAGTCTTGAATTTAATAGGGTAAAAGGTAGTTGGGAGCTCTTCCTCCATTAGTAGGCCTCATGTATAAATAGGGTGCTCTTTCCTCATTTGTATCATATAACACTTGAACAATACTATCCATTCTCTCCTAGAGGTTCTCTCTCTAAACACTTTCTCTCTCTACGATCCAAGTGGCCTAGTGAGCAAGTGAGCGATACGTCGGGAAGGCTTAGCTTAGTCGTCGTCCCAGCAAGAATCAAGGGAAGCCTAAGTTGCCACATGATTCGCAATCTCAATTGTCGGCTTGTGACTAGTGGTATCAGAGCACTAGTTGAAGAAAGCTCATTCAAAGAGATCGAGGAGCATGTCAAGTGGTTGAGAGAATGTCAAACCAGGAGATTGCCTCTATTGTTGCTATTAGTGAAACTCCCCAAGATAAGATCACCCAAGGGAAGGTCATCCAAGAGGAGGAGACCTGCTATAGATCCAATAAGAGGGGAGTATCAACGGACATTATGTCCACTCTCGAAGAAAAGCTCACTAGAATGAAGGCCGCCATGATGATGGACGGATTTGATGAGATGAAGGAGCGAATCGATAAGGTCGAAGAGACATTCCGTGTATAAAGCGTGGAGCCGATCTTATCAACACATGGGATGATTTTGTCAATGAATTTCGGGATTACTTCTTCACTGAGTTCGCTTGTGAAGAATTCGCCCAACAAGAGGCTCGTAGCAAGCTCCATCGACTAAGACAAAAGGGCACGGTCCGAGAATATGTAAAGGAGTTTACCGAACTCAAGCTCCAAATTCCCAACTTAGGGGAGGAGGAAGCTCTTGGGGTGTTCATGGATGGCTTGAAGCCTTGGGCGTAACTTGAGCTCAAATGACAGGATGTTTGAAGTATCTCGAAGGCAACAACTGCAGTCGAGTCTCTTGCCGACTTCATCAAAACAGAATCTTCCAATTCCAAAGGAAATGGGAGGAGAGCGGATCGCATCATGAGGAGGACAAGGAAGGTGAAGTTACCCGTAACATGGGGAGAAGGTCCTTCCAAACAAACCTACCAAAAGTGGAACCGACCCTAAGGTGACTCCCACAAAGAAAGAGAGAAGAAGCCACTGCCATCCCCATGTTTCATTTGCGACGGTCCCGTTGGACTCGAGATTGTCCAAAGAAGAACAACCTCGATGTTCCACTTCCTCTCAAGACAGATTTATTCCAAGTCAACTTTACTCGCAAGATTATGATTACCTGGAGGAGATTCACAACATCGAAAGTGTGTGGAACGAGTACCGTTCGCAAGAGATAGTTTGGCCCGAATATTTGGAGGAAAAGAGAAGATATACCGTGCCTCGACTCATTATATATGCCAGCATCAAATTCCTGATACTTTGCTCCCTATGGTGCCTGAGGTGACATCGAAGCCCACTCATCAAGCACAAATCAAGTGCCGCGAAAGGAAAGTGGAAAAGACAACGTCTCCGAGTCGACTCGAGAGAATAAACGGCTTCGTTAGACTATGGTCTGCCAATTGTATATAGATTGAGCCGTTTTAAAATGGCCTAAAGAGGTTGTTTCCAATTCATGTTTTTACTTTCCTAGTTCATATTTTGGGATTTGATTATGTATAAGAACAATTTCATTACTAAATAAAAGTGCGCGATTCAATTATTGTCATGAACCGGTCATATTAAATTATTGTACTTATTGTCACATTTTTTCATCTAAGTAACATCTTTGCATGACGGCTCATCAAAAATCACCGATTCGCATGTGTGCTAGAACAAGGATCGCTGACGCAAACGATCAAAATCGCATTGCTGCTCTTGCGAGTGAGATGAAACAAGTACTCAATGTGCTTCAATAACTATCAAAACAATTCGATTCTCTTCAGCCAAATCTCTTGACAGCGTCTGCTCAGCCACAGATTAGAGTGGTATTGCCGCAACAATCCGCCAATAGTAACAAAGGTATAGCTCCCGAGGATGAAATGCCAGACTTGATAGATGATCCCTCTCAAATCTCTGTCAACAATACTATGCCTGTGGCGCTTGATGTTGCGCCCAAGGTTGAGGAGGATAAGCTATTTCCCAAAATCGAAGAGAAGCTTCGATAGTTGCAAGTCCTACGGAATCAAGACCTGACTGACCTTCTAGCAAAAAAAAGACCTGACTGACTCGTCTCACTACGCTAAAGTCAAAGCACCAAAGAAGTTCGGAATGTCTGATTTCGACAAGTATGATGGTTCCTCCTGTCTGAAGATTCATTTGGAGATCTGGTGAAATGGCTCAATATATCGAGCACAAACCACTGATGATCCAGTCCTTTCAAGGAAGTTTGACCGGGCCGCCTGATACATTGTGAAGAAAATCAATCTTCATGAGACTTGGGAAGATTTGCCTAATGCTTTTTTCAAGCAATATAAATTCAATATCGACATAACTCCATCTCGTGAGGATCTAGTTCATTCGGAGAAGAAGAAAATGAGTCATTCAAGGATTATGCCACGAGGTGAAGAGCCCTGACCGCCCAAATTAGCCTTGAGCCAACGGAGAAAGAACTATTGAACTTGTCATGAAAACTCTACATCTTGCTACGTCAATGCCAAATGTTGGGCTCGACTGCTGAATCATTTAATTAACTCATCGTCGTGGGTGAGCCTATTGAGGTGGCCTTGCATGACGGATGGACTACTGAGCAAACCCTCACTACTAAGAGGTTTCCCGCCCACCGCAGAGGTTAATGTGGCTTATGCTCAATTGGCTCTCATCTTGACGATTCAAATTTCTGGTAGCCAACATGGTAGAAGACGCCAGTTCTTTGGTCAACAAATTGGCTTTAGAAGATGCTGGTTCGCGCCTCAAAAGAAGAGATTGCTCTCTAATGAGTTGATGATGCAACCAAATCCTGAGTTCTATTCTGAATATGATCCCTCCAAGAAGTGTAACTATCACATGGGATAAG